TCTCTTTTACTGTACATTTTTAAAAACATAGATTCTGAATTCATCAAAAAATGAATCAGGTATACCTCAGCAAAATTTCTCTTAGAAAAATATCTTCTTTTAACAACTGAATTAATATATTTGTATCTAGATATGTAAATAAAAGGATGGATATGTGTGTGGCATTATTGCAAAAATATCTTCAGCATTGTCTTATTTTGTTGTATGGCACATGGCGTCAAACTGACATTCTTCGTCGCTATCTGGATACATTGCCTTCATGGTGTACAATGGACATGGCCTGTCTTTCGGACAGCCTGGTAAATATACCGGTCGTTCCTGAAGCATGAATAAAACACTGGGCCCGTAATATTCGCAACTGAAACGAACATAATTGGATAATTATATATGATATTACAGGAAACGATAGTTCCATGATCTTAAGAGAAAAACGTACTCGTACAAAACAAATGCCATGTTAGATGCAAACGTATCGATAATACTGCTTCTCCACGCCCTTTTGTCTTCGTTCTTACGTAATGCAAAGGAATTGTGCGTCAAAGGATGTGCATCTTTGGCTAGTCCGAGTAAAGCTGTTAATTTCAAAATCGTGCCGGAATGTGTAAAATAAGCTGTTGTCACTGCCCCTTCGTTGGATCTAAGAAATCAAACACTCTACTAGTACGTCGCATTAACACAATGTAATTATATATTTAATTGCAAAGTTATAACAATTCTGAAAATTTTCAAAATTTAACTTGCAGTCTCATATTCATTATTTGAAAATGTTTTCAATTGAAATCTCTTTGACATGTAGACGAAAAGTTTATGCATATTTTCGTTTTTGTAATTTGAAAGCCTGCAGCGAGGGAACAGGAATTTTATATTGATTTATTATTGCAATACATATAAATTTGCATACCCAAAAGAGTCGAACACATCTTTCAAGGCAGGACACGCTTGCTCATAAGTTAATGGGTAGCCATATCCATCGATCCAATAGAATTCTAGATCTTCTACATATTCAAAGACCTATAAAGTATGAATATTGGGTACACAATTGAAGTTTTCCATCTAGGAATGAAAATATATCATCTTGCTTTCAATCTCACCCTGAAATCATTTAACGTGAATATTTTACACCAGGGAGATACTGCACTTCGATTCAATGCAGTTTCGAAAGCACACGTTGTGTGCATTAAATGTGCAGTTTCTAAAACATAAATACTTTATGTAACACAACAGGAAAACAGTGGCGAACTGTATTTATCTAATTATATACACGTTCGACAGTACTAACCATAATCGATATTGAGACCAATGCGCTTTCTAACATTGTCTACCATATTTCTGACAATCTTGCTGTCGAGAAATTTCATTTTCTCCTGTTTCGCGTCTGAGTTCTTGTCGACTTCCTGGCGCCAGCGAGGACA